CTGCGATGAAGCTGACCATCTGTACCGCCAGTGCCCATACAGGCGCCTTTGCTTTTCAGTATATTCAGCACGTCCTCGATATGGCCAGCGACCCCAGTACATCGAAGACTACCTGCCTCAGCAGCGCGTGCCACCACCTTCCAAGTGGCAGTCAAACTCACCGTTTCCGAGGCGTTTTTCACCTCCACCCCGGCAACACGCTGTAACATGGTCTCCCAAACTCCGCCGAGAAAACTAACCAAAGCGACCTTTCGAGAAGAGATCGCTGGCAATCGACGTGCTGAAGGCCTTCGATTGACGCTAACAGGCAAGGGTGTAAATTAGATTGAACGGTATGAACGGCTTTTTCTGGATAATACGGTGCTAGTCCACGGCTATGCACCAGGTGCTTTAGTGGATGCCAGGAATGGCTATTCGATACTACGCGGAGAATGACCACACAGCTAAAGAAGGTAATCACGCCCTGGCAATTCTCCGCAATTCAAATTTGAATGCTCCGTAAATCGACTACGCAAGTTCGAGCAGTGCTCAACGACGCCATTATCAAACCTTCGAACAGTGCGTGGTTCTCCCCGGTCGTTTCAGTAAAAAACTTTGCAGATTCCACGTACAGTGGCAATAGATGACATGCACAGCATGAATGAGGAAAGTTGCTATGTCACTTTAAAATCGGCACAACGTTATCAGGCGAAGGTAAATTATGCTGCAAATCAATTCCTTGCCATAATTATCTTTATTTGACTTGTCATTTCGCTTTACCGTGTATTCAGGTCACACTATATTGACATTTGGGGTTTAGCATCCAAAAAGCACCATGTGATTATGAGAGACTCCGTAGTGGAGGGCTTCGGAAATTTCCACCATCTTGGGGTCTTTAACCTGCATCCAAATCGGAGCACACGGGCCTACAACATTACCGCCGCCATCGGAAATACAGCCGGCGCAGCCGGGATTTGAACCCGCGACCTGCGGCTCAGCAGTAGAGAACCTTAGCTACTAGACCACCGCGGTGGGGCATACAATATTTGGTTCTTGTGGAGCTAGCGAAATGGCCGCGAGCGTGCTATGAGCTTAGCACGTAGTCAAATTTTTTATGACATGCTCGCCATGATTATTATATTTGGCCGTGTCATTTTCCTTCGTCTTTTTACGTCCCATAATCTTAAGTTTGGTGTATGTGAAGCTAGTAAAATGGCCGTGAGCACACAGTCAGCCTTGCATGCAGTAATGCTTTAAGTGACATGTATATCATGATTATCATGTTTGGACGTGTAATTTACCTCGGTCATCCGCCGACGTGACGAAAGTAACACCAAATAGGTTGACGAGTGAGACCACGAGAAAAGGGCCTTTGTGACCCCCGACGGTCTGTATGAGTTCTAAGAAGTCTTCCTTGTGGTTTGTGTCAGCGCCCGAAACTTTCGGGCGAATGATAGACTCTGCTCTTACTGGTCTGAAGTGTGACACTTGTCTCGTATACCTGAATTATGTAGTCATTTTTCTGAAACCTGTGAGTGTGCGTGAAGCTTCGCGATCTTCAGATGTTACACTCACACCAGAAACGTGTCATGTTTGTTGTGAAGAGCTCAAGTACCACAGCCATCTAGTGAGCGCGAGATCAGTAGAACCAATTCCGACAAGCTTACCACTGTAGCTGCGTTTCTCTCTCCTACCGACAAAAAGGCTGTTCGGTGCTTTGTGGTATTGTGCGCCTAATGTCGACAATTTGTTAGAAAATTTTAGAAGATAGCGGAACCCTTGACCTGATTTACGTGAGGCGGCACACCGTTTGTATGGGCCACCAAGACACAGACTGCTTTTACCGAACTACGACAGCGGGTGCAAGCAGCGTTTGTTCTTGCGCATTTTGACGTTGATGCTGACACAAAGGTGCACACGGAGGTAACATCGGATTTGGTGCAGTCCTCGTGCAGCATGAACACGGAATAAAACGAGTATTACCCAACGCCAGCCGCTGACTCTGCCGTACCGAGGTGTATTTCAAGACCACAGAAAAGCAGCGTTCACAATTATATGGGCGATCACCTAGTTTCACCTGTACCTCTATCACTATGGTTATTACATCAAAGTAGCAAAGGATCATTATGCCCTCTGCTGGTCGGTGAACATACGTGATCTTTCAAGCCAACTAGCTCGGTGGAGCTTGAGTGTAGAGGAATTTGATGTGACCATCGTCTATAAATCTGGACGGAAGCACGAAGACGCTACTACACTGTCGCGTGCCCCCATGCATTTATAAGTCAGGAATAGGAGAACCATGACGGTTTCTTGGGCACCTATAGCTCATCAGACTAGAGCAGTTGGCAGCGAAGCGAGAGGATGAAGGGATTCGACCACCCTTCGGCTAACTGAGGGTCGTAGCGGCGTTATACCTCGCCATGTATCTATAGCATTTTATATGCGTAGCATTTTTAGCAATATTTGACAACTTCGACCGTTTGTATATATATATATATATATATATATATATATATATATATATATATATATATATATATATATAAGGGAAAATTAGTGTATATCTAAGGGCTCGTTTGTCCGTGTTTTAACGCAATAATAAGGAGATATAAAAGACAATAATGCCAAAGAATGTACAGGGGAAGTTATTAGAACCAATAGAATGTAAATAGGAAGAAAGAAAAGTGGATGAAAAAATAACCAGCCGTGAGCAGGATGTTCACAGATGTTCGAAATAAGTTTTATCCCGCAGGATATAGATGAGAGGGCCAGTAAAGTATAGAGGGAGGTCCTAGTGCACAGTAGACGTGCTTTTTTATTCCTCAAGTCCCTACCCGCACTTTAAACCAGTGATCTCGCGGGACGCAACCAGCGCTCCTGCTTACGGCTGGGTATTTTTTCATCCACTTTTCTTTCTTCTTATTTACATTCCATTGGTTTTAATAACTTCCCCTGTACATTCCTTCGCATTACTGTCTGTTATATCTCATATATATAAATATATATATATATATATATATATATATATAGTGGGAGTAATAATTCAATGGGCCAGTTAGTCTTTGTGAATGTATGGGGTATGGCACAACGGGAGCGTTGTCAACAAGGATAAATATATTTATTTCGCAGTAGTTTCGGGAGGGGTCCTCCCTTCATCAGGGGATGAGTTATACTGACATGAATTTCCAAACTTCATTGCTGCCGCATCCCTCTCGCCTAGAAACATGTTTGCGAGAGTGAGAGGTAACTAGAAAAAAGCGGGGGGGAGAGAAAAAAAGAAAAAGAAAGAAAAGAAAGTAAAAAAGAGGAACAACCACTGTCAACACTGAGAACGAAAGCAACTGTCCGTGTACGTCCACATACGTTTCTTATCAAGTGTTGTTCAGTTCTCGACGTGTGTCGGGCCACCCAAGATTGTCGCCGCGGTGCCGGGAGGGTCCGTGACGGCGTGCGTAAAGAAAGGGTTCACCGTAATGGGTAGTTCGTTATGCGGCGTGCGTAAAGAAAGGGTCTCCCGTTAATGGGTTGGTCGGCTCTTTTTACCTTTATTCTTCGTTCGTTTCCCTTCAATGGTCATCAAGTGGTAGGCGAACGAAAACACTTTGTGTGTGCATGTGGAAAAAGGAAGAAAAGAAAATGAATGAAGAAAAAATGAAAACGAAAATGGACAGTATACACGTACGAGTCAGTCAGAAAAAAGCATGGTCTCCAGCTATCAATCTTTGTCACCAATTTCCTCCTGGCTTACTTCTCGGAGGCAGTTGAGTTTACCGGGGTCCTCGTTGATGCCGGCTACTAATGTTCGAAATTTGAAAATAAAATATGCCTCACGCAGTTCGCGCTCGCGTCTGTTTGAGAAACCGGACTGCAAAAGAGTTACGCTGATATTTTCAAAACTGTGGTTTGGCATGCGCAGATGTCTAGATAAAGGTAGCTTTGGCACTGAAGTGGCGTGGTACCAGTGATTATTGAACCGCAGCCGAAATGGCGTGTCTGTTTGTCTGTTTGGACGATGGACAAAAATATATTCTTTTCTTCCTTTTTCTACATGCACATACAAAGTGTTTTCGTTCGCCTACCACTTGATGACCATTGAAGGGAAACGAACGAAGATTAAAGGTAAAAAGAGCCGACCCACCCATTAACGGGAGACCCTTCCTTTACGCACGCCGCATGCCGACCGACCCATTACGGGGAAACTCTTACTTTACGAACGCCGTCACGGACCTTCCCGGCACCGCGGCGACAATCTTGGGTAGCCCGACACACGTCGAGAACTGAACAGCACGTGATAAGAAACGTATGTGGACGTACACGGACAGTTGCTTTCGTTCTCAGTGTTGACAGTGGTTCTTCATCTTTTTTACTTTCTTTCTTTTGTTTCTTTTTCTTTTTTTCTCTCTCCCCTTTTTTTCAATTTACCTCTCACTCTCGCAAACATGTTTCTAGGCGAGAGGGACGCGACAGCAACGAAGTTTGGAAATTCATGTCAGTATATAACTCATCCCCTGATGAAGGGAGGACGCCTCCCGAAACTGTTGGGAAATAAATATATTTATTCTTGTTGACAACGCTCCCATTGTGCCATACCCCATACCTATATATATATATATATATATATATATATATATATATATATATATATACCTTATACATTACACAGTAATGCTTGGGTAATATTGTTGTGCTTCCTATATGCGTGGCATTTAGTCGTTCCCAAGTATGGCATTTAGTCGTTCCCAAGTATGGTGGATGCCTTCAACAAGGTTCCCAAGTATGAAGGCATCCACCAGATCAAGATGTGTGGGCTTTCAGCAAGAGCTTGTGCTTTCGGCGGGTAACTGAATCTTTGGACAGGCACCAACCGACTGACAGACCAAAAGCGTTGCGTTGAAGCATGCTAATAAAAGCTATTGTCTTCAAATAGCAAGGATTAGTTGAAAGATTAGTCAATATTCGCAATTAGTGTATATATGTTTCAACAAGACTCACTTTGGGGGTAATTTGCGCGATATTCTTACCTCTGCAAGGTCCTGCGTCAATACAGGCTCCTCGTTTTGCCTTTCCTGGAAGAATAAAAGTATCGTTACATTCAAGTTGCGAAAGGTTCCATGTATTACTACTTGTTCATTTTCATATTGAGGAACTGTCATTTAAACGAAAGGCCGAAACCCAATATAAAAACAACAGTTTCTTCAACCTGTAGAGTTATGAAGAGAATTTAACGCTATGCTCATCTGGGTAGTAAAGCAGTTGTAATCTTGTCAACTTGGTAGCCTGGTTTTAGAGCCACCTCTAGGTTACTTATGCACCGGGCGGTGCTTCGGTGGCACTGGGGCTTATGAGGATGCACTGCATCTTGCAGCCGTGTCAGGACGAGCTATGGTAACAAGGTGCACACTGTGCGGAATTATGGACAGATAATGTCGCTGCATCACTGTCCTGAAAACAGGAGAGCCATGAGAGTTTGAAAAAATACGAAGGTTCTACACGACTTTCAGAGCTTATAGTAACAAAATGATGCGGTGATGTCGTGGGCTGTAGACGGATGCCCGCAGATACACAGATGTTGCCTGGTTCATTCAAAGCCATGTCCGCTGCCTACAGCCGGTCAATCGAAACGTGGACGTCATTGCTTTCCAACGCATTGTGAAGTTTTTGTCGACATAAAGGAAAACCAGTCAGGGTCTTTATCAGGGTGGCTGCAAAGGCCTTAGGGCTGAGTCATCGCGGAGAAAGTCACTGTGGACGTCGCTAGTTCCTGTGTTGTGTTACGTATAGTATCGTGTTATTTTGCTTCACTTTTATGCTAACGCGCGATTCTAAGTACGCGTTCAGGCCAATACCATGAACGGGAGGCATTATTATGTCGCTTTCTTGCAATTCGCAGATGTTCGAAATAAGCTTTATCCCGCGGGATATAGATGAGAGGGCCAGTGAAGTCTAGAGGGAGGTCCTAGTGTACAGTAGACGTGTTTTTTATTCCCCAAGTTCTTACCCGCGCTTGTAAACCAGTGATCTCGCGGGACGCAACCCGCGCTCTTGTGGGCCGCGTAAGTGAGCGAACCTGATGAGCACATCTTGTAAGCAGGATTGTTGCATTTACAGTTCTAACCAACTACTCTACTGCGCGCGAGTAATGGCATTCTGTGGTACAAGGTCTAGTGTTGATTCCGTACCTTGTGAGATATCCAGCACCAACAAACATGTAGCTTGTGACATGTCGAAGCGGAGAACACATTGTCATTGTTTTGCCCCGGTATGCCGAATCGGTAACCGGGGCGCTTTGAATCTACCATGCGAACGCTTTATTTAGGTTGTCCCCGCACTAACCTGGTAGAATCACGTCTGCTTTAACCAGGGAGCAAACGTGCTTTCCAAGTAACCACAGCTGCAGCTTTGCAGGAGGCTGCAACGGCCCGACCACGCAGCCAAAGCTGGCATGGATGCATGGATGGATGAATGGATGGATAGATATGGCTGTACCATTTAGATCGGGCGGTGGCTAGCACAACCAAGCCGTGATACTTAATGAACAAAAGGTATATTTATTTTTTTTTCTTAAATAGAGAGGTTGAGGATTCGTACTTTGCAGTGAAGGGTTTAATTTTCAGTCGTGCCTTGACTTTAGCCACCAATCAGATAACCTCCTTATAGTTAATTCTACCCGTTTAAAGTCTATTTTGCCCTCCCAGTCCCTAAACCCCAGTGCTTCGAAAAACTGTGCGCCATCATCCTGAACTATAGGGTGAAGCCCTTTACAGAACATTATCAAGCGTTTGGCAGTTTCCTCCTCTTTTCCACATGCAGTGCATACCGTGTATACCCTTTCGTATTTGGCCCGATATGTCTTGATTGCATGAAACGATGCATGGGTGTATGGATGGATGGATATGGCTGTACCCTTTATATCGGGCGGTGGCTAGCGCCACGAAGCCGTAATACTTAATGAACCAAAGACTGTATACTTTTTTTCCTTAAAAAGTGAGTTTGAGGATTCGTACTTTGCAGTGAAGAGTTTAATTTTCACTCGTGCCTTGACTTTAGCCACCAATCAGATAACCTCCTTTTAGTTAAGTCTACCCGCTTAAAGTCTATTTTGCCCTCCCGGTCCCTAAACCCCAGTACTTTAAAAAACTCTGCGCCATCATCCTGAACTATAGGGTGAAGCCCTTTACAGAACATTACCAAGTGTTCGGCAGTTTCTTCTTCCTCTCCACACGCACTGCATACTGTGTCTACCCTTTCGTATTCGGCCCGATATGTCTTGGTTCGCTGTACTTCCATCCTGGCCTCAAACAGTTGAGAACTACCCCGAGTATTATTATAGATCCTTCCCTTGGTAATTTCCTGCTTAAAAGTTCGATAGACCTCTAGTGCGGACGTCTTAATCATGCCCATTCTCCACATCTCAGTCTCTGTTTCTTTCACTTTCTTCTTAACCAATAGTTCTTTTTGGTTTGGCCACCTGCTGTCTGCTAAGTGTTTACCAGTCAACTTCCTGGTTCGCTTCCTTCATTTTGTATCGACATTCTTCATGCACAAGTAGCTGAAAACATTCCTAGCCTAATGCTCCTCCCCCATTTCTCTCAATCCCTTCTGAAATTTCATCTTGCTGCTAGCTTTGCTGCCCTCAAATGATGTCCATCCCATATCACCTTGTACTCCGAGATTTGGTGTATTCCCGTGAGCTCCTAAAGCAAGCCTACCTATTCCACGTTGCTTAATTTCTAATCTTGCTTGAACTTCTGATCTCATGCACAAGACCACGTTGCCGAACATCAGCCCAGGAACCATGATTCTTTTCATATTCCTCTCACAACATCATACCTATTGTGATTCCACAGTGCCCCATTTTTCATCACTGCTGCATTGCTGTTACCTTTAGTCGTCACGTATATTTCGTGTTCCCTCAGGTTCTCGGTCCCAATGCTTATCCATACGCCCAGATATTTGTATTTATCTGTTATCTCTAGCGTGACCTCCTGTATTCTAAGCTCACTACCTTCGTTGTCATTGAAAATCATGACTGCTGATTTTTCCTTACTGAATCTAAAATCTAACCTATCTCCCTCATTACCGCAGATGTCTATCAATCTCTGCAAATCTTGCTTGTTGTTGGCCATTAGCACTATATCATCTGCGTACATTAATGCTGGTAGTGCCTTATCAATAGGTTTTCCTTGTTTGACTAAAGGGAGGTTGAAGCAAAGTCCACTTCCCTCTACTTTTGCCTCTAATCCTCGTAGGTACTTCATGAATAATAAGGGTGACGGGGCACCCTTGCCTAAGCCCCCGTTTTACGTCTGCAGGCTTGGATACTTCCTTTTCTCACTTTATAACTACCTTGTTACCTTTATAGATACCCTTTACAAGATTAGTGACTAAATGTTCTATGCCTAGTGTGTCCAGTATTCCCCACAATTCCTCTTGAACCACGCTATCGTACGCTCCCTTGATATCCAAAAATGCCAGCCACAGGGGCCTGTGTTCCTTTTCTGCTTTTGGGATGCACTGTGTCAGTGAGAACAGATTGTCTTCAACCTCCTGTGTTTCCGAAACCCATTCTGCAGTTTCCCCAGCACCCCCTCATCCTCCATCTATGCCTGCAGTCTTTCCTTTATAATGTGCATCGCCAGCCTGTAGGCTACTGATGTCACTTTTATGGGACGGTAGTTGTTTATGTCAGCTTTGTCCCCCTTTCCTTTATAGATCATGCAATTCCTGCTAAGTTTCCACCCATCCAAAACTTCACCATCGGTTATTATTTTGCTCACTGCCTCTCTCAAAGCCTGCTTAGACTTCGGACCTAATGTCTTCATCAGCCTAATTGGAATGCCATCTGGGCCTGTTGATGTACTACTAGGAACCCTTTTCTAGCCCTTTTCCACTCTCGTTGTGAAAATGGAGCCATTGCACCACTTGATTCGTCCTTGTCTATTGTGGTACATAAAACACTTCTTTGTTGAAATTTTTCTGTCACGCTTGTTCTTATATATTCAATAGCTTCGTCCCTTTCTAGCCTAGCACCTTGGGCTGTAGGTATAAAACTCTGCTCTAGGCTCGTCTCATTTCTTAGGGAGTTTAGATGGTTCCGAAATTTCGCAGCCGCCTTTCTATATTTTTTATGTACTTCTGCCAGCCACTGAGCTCCGTTTCTTCTAATCTTTTCATTGATCAGAAGGGACGCATCCCTTCTACAGCTTAGAAAGGTTCCCATTCTCTTTCAACATCATCTGTCGGATCACCCCGCTGCTTAGCATGTCTGTGTTCCCTAGAGGCTTCCTGACGTTTTGCTATGGCTCTCCTAACTTCCTCATTCCAACAACTTTTGGGTTTGTGTCTTCTTTGCCGGGGTGACTTGTCACGCGTCTTCGCAAGCTCTAGCTCAAAGAGTCTAATTATATTCGTGTATGTCCACGCTGTCTTATTATCCTCCGTGATTACTTTCTCAATTTGTTTAGTGGCTATTTTGTTTTGCCTTTCTGGATAAAAAGTTCCTCTAGTTCCTCCTCTTGTCTCCTTCCCACTTTCACTGCTCTTCCAAAACTTAGCATGATACGTGTGTGATCACTACGCAGACTTCTGGAGCCACCTTCATCTATGTGCATTCCCCTGAGCTTACCATACATCCTATGCGACATCAGTGCATAATCTAACGTCGACTGCAGCCTTTCTACCTCCCGTGTTAGTTGCCCTTCACAATTCTCGGTACTGTTGCGAATGATCAAATCAAGCCTTTCACGCATATCCATGATCATTTTGCCTGTCGGGTCTGTATACCTATCTATATCTTCTATGTGCGCATTCATATCTCCTAGTATAATTATCTCGCACTCTCTTTCTAACTCCTGAATGTCCTTTGATATACACTCTACCATTGCCTGGTTTTCCTCTTTGGCCTTTGCTCCCTTCCACAAGTACACAAAAGCAGAAGTGTCATTTGACCTGCCACTTTCCCTCTTAGCCATAAATGTTTCTTGCATTCCTGCTTGACCCTTTACCAATCTGTACTTTTATGAATGAAACACCCAATACCACCCCCTTTCTTCTGCTTTCTGTTCTA